CTTCAGTGGAAAGGTGGAGTGTGGACAAAGAAAGGCATCTTTGAGTTCCTGAGTGCAGATCTGGGTCTTCTCTAGAACCGTGCTGCACTGAATGTCGTCCTGAGTCACGTTTGTTTTGTTATTAATGCTGCAGGATCTTCCCAAACCAATCAGAGCCAACTTCATCCTCGACGTGGAGACGGACGAGCTGTCCATTACTGCTGGGCTGCAGGACCGAGTCGTGCAGGTGAGTCTGATGACCCACGGTGCGTGGACCTGCCTGTCAGTGTTACTGTGAAGTGACAGGCGTTACTGTTGTGTCTTGCAGGTGTATGAAGGCTTGGTGTACATGGATTTCAGCAAGGAGCTCATGGAAGAGCACGGCTTCGGTACTGACCTCCCTGTCAGCGCCATAAACGTTATGTCCTGTAAAATAAAAGTTGTTGTTACATCGTGTGTGTCTGTGTGTGTGGTATATCCTCGTGCGTGGTTTCAGGAGACCTTTATAATCTCAGACTTACTGCGTGATGTTAGTTTGCAGTACTCAGTTTTTCTAATCGTTTGGATTTGTTGTCATTTGATGCTGAAATTGTCTTCATGTGTCTGTGTGTGTTTCCCATTATCAGGAGCCTACATTCCCATGGACATGAGTGACCTTCCTCCGTTCTGGCTGGCCTACCTGAGCGACCCCAGTGATTCTGGCCGTATCCATAGCAACATCCGACAGCGCTGGCTCAGTGGTACGTCTCCAAATCAGACGTTGATCTTCTGAAGGCAGGAGGTGTCGAATGGTGTCGACGTTACAGGTGCTCAGCAGATGAATCCTACTGATGGTGATGCTCTCGCCATTTCCTGCTGTACGGGTGCTCTGTAGTCATGTGACGTATTTCATCAGTATCAGCTCAGATGGAGTGAGTCCAGTTAACGTGACCAAAACTAGTGACATTCCCACCACACTCTTATTTTGGAGTAACCCCACTATTTAAACCCATTGCTGCTGTTCGCTGGCAGGAACCATCCTGATACAAAGTCTGTGTTTTCTACAAATAAGCCTTTGAAACCAAAAGCCTCCAAGCTCAGGTCCAGGTGATCTCTGCAGGGCAGAAACTCAGCTCCAGCTCTACACACTGTTTCAGACAACGAATGGCTCAGTGTGATGTCATAGAGAGGTGATGTCTCTATATGTTCATCTCAGACAATAGAAGCCGAACACACCTGCTGCTTAATGTTTGTGCCAATCAGAGTTGGGTTAAGGGGACCAATCAGACTCCACTTTCCACTGTACAGAAAGTGGCAGTAGTTGAATTGCAGGCACAGCAGGGGATTAGAGAAGAAGTGAACAGAGGTAAACGGTGGAGCTAACTAACAAG